AGAATGTCATAAATACTTTAGAATGTTAAAAACACATTTTAGAATGTCAAAAACACTTTTTAGAGTTGCAGTTGCATTTTAGAATGTCAAAACACATTTTAGAATGTCAAAAACACTTTTTATTTACTACTTTATATTTACCTGGTTTTATTTAATAAACTTACAAGAACTATAATTTCACACATACTTTAAAATGTCAAAGACACTTTTTGGAGTGTCAGACATACTTTAGACATTTTAGACGTATGTCATAAATACTTTAGAATGTCAAAAACACATTTTAGAATGTCAAACTTAATATAGAATGTCAAAAACACTTTTAAGAATGTCATAAATACTTTAGAATGTTAAAAACACATTTTAGAATGTCAAAAACACTTTTTAGAGTTGCAGTGGCATTTTAGAATGTCAAAACACATTTTAGAATGTCAAAAACACTTTTTGAAGTGTCAGACATATTTTAAAATGTCAAAAACACTTTTTATTTACTACTTTATATTTACCTGGTTTTATTTAATAAACTCACAAGAACCATAATTTCACACATACTTTAAAATGTCAAAGATACTTTTTAGAGTGTCAGACATACTTTAGACATTTTAGACGTATGTCATAAATACTTTAGAATGTCAAAAACACATTTTAGAATGTCAAACTTAATATAGAATGTCAAAAACACATTTTAAAATGTCATAAATACTTTAGAATCTCAAGAACACTTTTAAGAATGTCATAAATACTTTAGAATGTTAAAAACACATTTTAGAATGTCAAAAACACTTTTTAGAGTTGCAGTTGCATTTTAGAATGTCAAAACACATTTTAGAATGTCAAAAACACTTTTTGAAGTGTCAGGCATATTTTAAAATGTCAAAAACACTTTTTAGAGTGTCAGTCATACTTTTGAGTTTCAGATATACTTTAGAATCTCAAAAAGATATTTTAAAATGTCATACACACTATAGGATATCAGACATACTTTGTAATCACCACTACACGCGAAGTAATAGTTTTAATAAAAATAATACAAATTACATATTATTACAAAAATATCATACATATATTTTTAATTTTTTAGGCATCGATTGATTTAATTGCCTGTACTACCTGAGTATTAGATTAGCTGACCTTTAAAGCACCAATAAAACCTTTTTGTTGACATCTGCAGCATTTATAACATTTGCAAATTTTACATCATGGTTCCGTCTTTTTTACTAATTGAGGTATTTTACGACCTAAAGGTGCCCTGGGAATAGTCAATACACTAAAAATTACCCTTCATAAAAATTTATTTCCTCTTTTAATTCAAGTGTAGTAGGATATAAGACAGGGGCGGCTCGTGAGATGTTTAAGAGGCAGTGCTGCAGAGTTTAATTTAAGGGAATAAAAATAATCAGAAGTGGGATATAACTACAGCGTGTCTCCGAATTATTAAGGAGTGATTATACAGCCCAAAATATGAAAAAAGTTCCCAAGAACATGTGGTTAAAAATGCTCCATAAAGGCGCTACGTTGTATGGGGAAAATGCATCAGAAGTGGGATATATGTATCTACAGCGTGTCCACGTATTATTTTCCAAAAATTGTAATGGGTGATTTTATTTTTTTTGTATACAGCGCAAATTATGAAAATAATCATAATAATTTTTTGATGAGTCATATTAATATTATATTAATTAAAACAGACGTGGGGAAACCACTATAGTGGTATATAGATATCTACGTCAATGCCATTAATAGTAATTTAAAAAAAATCTTAAAATAAAGATAACTCAACATTATATATACATAAATACAAATAAAAACAAATAGTTTGTTTAATAAAATTGTTCAAAAATATTGGATGATGAAGTAGGTATTTTCACTATTAAGGTATACCTATTGCACAGTATAAATCCTTAAGATATAATAAAAGAATTTTTGTTATCCTACACAAAATTTGAGAAATAAACATTATAAATTCCCTGTCTATAGGTATTATAAATATTATAAACGGTTTGAGATAAAAAATCTTACCAATTAGAAAAATGTAGATTATTTTAAGATCTACAACATTGTATAATGCAGCATTATACAATGTTGTAGATCTTAAAATAATCTACGTTTTTCTAATTGGCAAAATATATATTTTAGATACACCAACTCATAGGCTGAATGGCTAAATAACACCCTGTATAGAAGCCTAAAAAAGGCTTAAATTACAAACAAATGTGTAGAAAACATGTAGAAAAATATATATCGATATTTTTATATCACTTCGTATCATTAATTACTCTCATTAATTTTAACCACCCGATGTATAATTGATTTCTTATCTTAATCGTATGGCGTATTATTTTGAACGTGAAAATTTCTCACAGTAGTTCAGGCAGTGTTAGGTAAACTTTGCCAGGTGCCTAAGCAGTAAAATTCTCGGAAAAACTTGGCCGACAATGAACGGCGTTCGCCCTAGATGAACGTTTTCAAATCTCAAAAGGTCCGAATCAATTATTGAAAAAACGTAGAAAAATGCCGACGCGTTTCGGACGTGACAAATAGGAAATAATAAAAAGTGAAAAAGTTTTCGCCAATGGGAGTTGATAAGGCCCTGCCGAGGTGGTAAAGGGTCAGTTTACTTTTGTCCTTCAAGAGGTGGGTGCCTTAAGTGACAAACAAAATTTGCAGGCATTTTTAAACCCATTGGATTGTTTCTACAAAATCGGTAAGAAATTTTGTTCTTTATTTTTAATGCGTTTGCGGCAAATGGTTAAAAGATACAGGTAAAAAGTAAAATAGTTTTTTAAAGAAAAATTAATTTCCTATAAAAAAGATTCTATGCGTTAATCCAATAAAACGCATAGTTTAAAATATATGGAGCATTTAATAAAAATAACTGCCAAATTTTCTACTTTATCAGTAGTAAAATTTATTAAATGCTCTATATCTTCTAAACTATACATTGTATTGCATTTATGCATAAAACTATTTTTGTAGAAAATTAAATTTCCTATAAAAGCATGTTTTCGTTTTCACCTGTATCTTTAACGTTGTGTCGCAAAACAACATAGGAGTAATTAATTTATCAATATTTGATGGTCCAATTTATTAAATTCTGTATATCTTTTAAAGTATGCTTTTTATAGCATTAATTCATAGAAAATTTTTTGTAAAAAATTAAATTTTCTATAAAAAACTTTTTTACTCTTTACCTGTAACTTTAACGGTTTTGTCGTAAAACAACATAATTTATCAATATTTGACACTAAAATTTATTAAATGCTCTATATCTTTTAAATTATGCATTTTATTGCATTATTATAAGAAGCACTTTTTATAGAAAATTTAATTTCCTATCAAAAATATTGTGTGCATTAATCCAATAAAATGCATAGTTTAAAAGATATGGAGAATTTAACAAATTTTAACTGCCAAATTTACTACTTTATCAATAGTAAAATTTATTAAATGGTCTATATCTTCTAAACTATACATTGTATTGAATTAATGCATAAAACTATTTTTGTGGAAAATTAAATTTCCTATAAAAGTATTTTTTCGTATTAAAACAAATTCAATATTCGACAGTACAATTTATTAAATTCTGTATATCTTTTAAAGTATGCGATTTAATGCATTAATCCATGGGACCTTTTTTGTACAAAAATTAATTTTCTATAAAAAATTATTTTACTCTTTACCTGTAACTTTAACGGTTTTGTCGTGAAACAAAATAGTTCATGAATATATGACACAATAATTTATTAAATGCCCTATATCTTTTGAATTATAAATTTTATTGCATTATTTCAAGGAATATTTTTTATAAAAGTTAGTTTACTATAAAAAAGATTCCATGCGTTAATCCAATAAAATGCATGGTGTAAAAGATATGGAGCATTTAATAAATTTAACTGTCAAATATCAATAGTAAAATTTATTAAATGCTCTATATCTTCTAAACTATGAATTGTATTGCATTAATGCATAAAACAATTTTTGTAGGAAATTAAATTTCCTATAAAAATGTTTTTTCGTTTTCACTTGAACTTTAACCGTTGTGCCTTAAAATAACCAAAATCTATTCGACCTTAAATAAAAATGTTTTAACCTGAAAAATCAATAGCAAAAGGTCATATAGAGACAGGTAAAGGGTGATATTGATCGACTAATAAAACTTTTTTAGTTTTAGAAACACCATGACTTATTTGAAGCAATCAAATATAATCCTGTTCATTCTAATCATTATATCAGTTGAGTCGGTGCCTTTGGGAAAATTGAGTACCGATTACGATTTAGAATGGATAATCTCCAACTTGGATCCTCCGAACGAAGGAGAAAACCACGATAGAAGGAAAACGCTGCCGAAAAAGGAAATATTTATTTTTCAGAAAAATTGCCCAGAAGGCTATTTCTCCGACAGCCTTGACCGGTGCATCAAAAAGGTTCAATTGGACGAAATCAGGCAAGAACAATTTCTGCTCGAGAAACTGATGGATCTAGGCGGCCTGGATGATTACGAAGAAGAAGTTATTACCAACGTAGAACCAAGTAAAACACTAAATGAATTTATCATGGCTGCGTCCACCACAGATGGAAATAAGTTTAATCCCTTAAAAATTGACATTCCTTTCGGAGACTACGAGGACTCTAGCTTGGAAAAAATGAAATACTTTTACGTTGACGATGGATTTAAAATAGAAACCACATCAAATTTAGACTCCTTACTAAGCGTAGAAACGACAATTAGGGAAAATCTACAGAATGATATGACATTGCAAGAGGACGTTATAAATTTAAGGCGGAAAAGTCAAAATTTTATATAAAATTCAGTTAAAAAATATATTTTTTATTATTTATTGCTTTAATTTTGATAATTGTATAAAAAGAAAAATATGCTAGTGATTATTTGTATTGATATGAATAAAAATAAATGTATTACCATTACTCAACGCCAGTTTTACTCGAAAACAGCCAGATGGCGCTGTTAACAACACTTCGTAGGTAGGCAACCCAGATTACTTTTATTTTGTGTAATTTTTCGGCTGTGCCTCTTGTTTGGCGCGTTTTTACTCCTCCATCTTTATCTCGTGTTATAATTGTCTTGGTTATCTGATAAGATAACTTATCTACAACAAAGAAATCTTAAGTGAATTCGTTCACATAAAATAGCTGGCAACACTGCCCAACCAACGGCATCTTATTTTAAGGTTAAGTTGTTTACTTCATAAATTCATATATCTGTGTTGTTTAATATTGCCTTCTGATGGTAGATATTAATCAATTTTTAATACAAAACAGTGGATGTAAAGATGGAATTGCTTTTTGATGGTAAATGTAGGACTTGTTTGGGTGTATTAAGTGATTCGGGAACCAATGTTACTCAAGTACAGTCAGAAATAATCTCCAAAAGTGTTACAAAACTGGTAATAAAAATATTATTGTTATCTCGATTGATGTTGGCATGTTTATTTTAGGTTAACTGTGTTTCTCTGCAAGATGTAATTTGCAATGATTGTTTTAAGTGTTTGAACGAGTTTTATTACTTCATAAAAAAGTTAAAGGAGGTTGATGAAGAAATAAATAAGATAACTCTGTCGAGTACAAATAATTTAAAAGACTTTTTGGAGGATTTCAGTAATGATATAACGGACCTGGACTATTTAAATAATGATGATAATGATCATTCCTACTTTACTTTGCCGGAGGTTGAAGCAAATAACCCCTCGGATAAAACTGTGGTGGAAAATACACCTAAAGTAAACGAACTGGCCACCAAAATTGAAATTAAAGAAATTTTAAATGAAATCACAATCCCAAATGATCACTGCTACCCAAAAATGGGGCTGCATGTTAGCTGCAAAGAAGAAACCAATATTAAAATAGATGTAGATAGGGCTGTTTCATTACAACTTGAAGAAGATAAGCTTCAAGCATTAGTGAAGGACCTGCAAAACGATGGAGTCTTGGTTAATGATATTTCATCGAAAAAACCAGGCAGAAAGCGAATAATCATTCTTGGTGGAGGAATGAATGTTTCATATGGCCAGTGTTCAATATGCTCAAAATTGTTTAGGGATAAAGAGCTATTAGCCAAACATGAAGAAGCCTGCAAAGTATTAGTGGTAAGAACATTTATTTAATTTGTAAATTTTGAGGTTATCTGTTTATAGATATTTTTGAGATATATTTTAGTTTTATTAATCGATTTTAGAGGGTCAAAATATAAAAAAAATGTTTTTGTTAACTTTGGAGAACCCTTGTTGAAAATTTAAAGGTCTAAATTTTTTGTCTTAAATTTTTTTTTGTTCAAACAATAGGAAACTAGATAAAACGATTAATTTTTTCTTTCAAAATTGGCGCCTGAGCAGGGGCATGGAAATTTGGCATTTCAGCCAGTTTTGTTGTTTTTTTTTTAATTAATGAATCATTCTTGTCATAATTATCATGGTTTTATAATTTATCCATATCTCCGATGTTTAAAGTGGAGTAGCTCCCTTATAAAGCATTTTTGACCATATCATCTTGGAACTATTTTTCATACTTAAGGCTGTAGAATCACTCCTAACAATTTTTGGAAACACTTGTTATATCCCACTTCTGATGCAAACATTAAGAACAAGGGAGCTACGTTATTAAGGATTTTTGACCCTATCTTCTTGGGAAGTTTTTTTATTATTTTGGGCTATGGAATCGCCCCTTACAATTTTTTGATGAAATTCGGTGACATCCCACTTCTGATGTAAACATTAAAAACGACGTAGCTACCTTATTAAGGATTTTTGACCCTATCTTCTTGGGAAGTTTTTTTCATATTTTGGGATGTAGAATGACCCCTTACAATTTTTGGATTAAATTTGGAGACATCCCACTTCTGATGTAAACATTAAGACAACGTAGCTCCCTTATAAAGCATTTTTGACCATATCTTTTTGGGAAGTTTTTTTCATATTTTGAGGTGTAGAATCGCCCCTTACAATTTCGGATGAAATTCGTAGACACCCGGGTGTATATCCCACTTCTGATTTTTGTATATTTCCATTTTAGATAACGTGTGTTTTATGTAAGGAAACATTCGCCAAACAGAGTTTATACAACAATCATATGAGAGAAAAACATCGCCGGTGTGTAAAATGTCGCGAATATTTCAAAGACGATGTCGATTACAATTCGCACAGGGATGTTTGCAGAAAATTATTCCAATGCAAAATATGCAGCGAAAAGTAAATAAAACGGTATTTGGAGATGAATTTTGTTATTTATGATATTTTTTTGAAGGTTTGTAAAATCGAATCAGTTGGCGCGACATCAAAGTGAAGTTCATAATATAAAGGAAGTTCCCGGATTGTGCGATATATGCGGGAAAACATTCGAAAAGAAGTCTTCTTTAATGTCTCATAAACAGGTAAGATCGTTTTTTTTTGCTAGGTAAATACTAAAAAAAAAAAAAATTGTGAAACCTCCCGCGTCTTATAAGCGTTGCTTTTCGTTCCGTCTCAACCGACGTGTTCTGAAACCGTTTTTTTTTCGTGCAGTGCCACACTGGCGAGCAGCAGTGCACAGTGTGCCAAAAAGTGCTAAAAAACAGGAACATGCTAAAGTTGCACATGAAAAATGTCCACAACACAGGTGCGCCTCAGCAGTGCGATCACTGCGGGTTTTTGTGCCGGACGTACGCTTCGCTCAGGGCGCATCTCGTGCGGCACGAGAAGAACAGGGCGCCGAAGTACTTTTGCACGCAGTGCGACAAGAAGTTTTTTACGACCACCGGGCTCACCAATCACCGCCAGTACCACCACGATCAAAGTAGGTTGCCATCTGTGGTGATTTTTTTTTTAATGCCACTTTATTTTAGAGAAAATTTTTGCTTGCGAATATTGCGATAAAACCTTTCACAGAAGGGATTATCTTAGAATTCACACCAATAGGCACTTACCCTCGTCCAGTAAAATCAAAATACATAAAATAGGTAAAATCAAAATACATAAAATAGGTAAGTAGTTATATTTGTAAGTTGCAAATTGTAACGTGGTCTTTGTTGAGACCATGGTTACTGTTATAATATTAATATGATATACCCGGCAAACATTAATTAAGACCCGAAAAAAGTAGTTATTTTATAATGCGTTTTACTGTGTTAAATATTTTACACTTATTACTTAAAATAAACTATACAAAGGTGCTCTTTTTAACCGTAAAAAATGTTTCTGTCAAAAAGCGCCGTTTTGCCTAAATTTGATAACTTTTTTATTACAATTTTTTTTACTGTGTTAAGTAAGACTTATAACTTAAACTAAACTAAATTTTTATAAAAAAAAATTGTTTTCTTAAAAAGCACCGTTTTGCGGAAATAATTTTATAACTTTTTTATTATAAACAAATGTTGTTTACTGTAAGTAAGACTTATTACGTAAACTAAACTATATTTTAACCGTAAAAAATGTTTTTGTCAAAAAGCACCGTTTGCGGAAATAATTTTATAACTTTTTTATTACAAACAATTTTTTTTACTGTGTTAATTAAGACTTATAACGTAAACTAAACTAAATTTTAATAGAAAAAATTGTTTTGTTAAAAAACACCGTTTTGGGTAAATAATTTTATAACTTTTTTATTCCAAATATTTTTTTTTACTGTATTAAATAAAACTTATAACGTAAACTAAACTAAATTTTAATAGAAAAAATGTTTTGTTTAAAAGGACCGTCTTGCGAAAATAATTTTATAACTTTTGTATTACCAATATTTTTTTTATAGTGTTAAGTAAGACTTATAATGTAAACTAAACTAAATTTTAATAGAAAAAATTGTTTTGTTAAAATCACCGTTTTGGGTAAACAATTTTATAACTTTTAAATTACAAATAATTTTTTTTACTGTGTTAAATAAGACTTATAACGTAAACTAAACTAAATTTTAATAGAAAAAATGTTTTGTTTAAAAGGACCGTTTTGCGAAAATAATTTTATAACTTTTTATTACAAACAAATGTTGTTTACTGTGTTAAGTAATTTTTTTTACTGTGTTAAGTAAGACATTACGTAAACTAAACTATATTTTAACCGTAAAAAATGTTTTTGCCAAAAAGCACCGTTTGCGGAAATAATTATAAAACTTTTTTATCACAAACATTTTTTTTACAGTGTTAAGTAAGACTTATAACGTAAACTAAACTAAATTTTAATAGAAAAAATTGTTTTGTTAAAAAACACCGTTTTGGGTAAATAATTTTATAACTTTTTTATTCCAAATATTTTTTTTTACTGTATTAAATAAAACTTATAACGTAAACTAAACTAAATTTTAATAGAAAAAATGTTTTGTTTAAAAGGACCGTTTTGCGAAAATAATTTTATAACTTTTAAATTACAAATATTTTTTTTTACAGTGTTAAGTAAGACTTATAACGTAAACTAAACTAAATTTTAATAGAAAAAATTGTTTTGTTAAAATCACCGTTTTGGGTAAACAATTTTATAACTTTTAAATTACAAATAATTTTTTTTACTGTGTTAAATAAGACTTATAACGTAAACTAAACTAAATTTTAATAGAAAAAATGTTTTGTTTAAAAGGACCGTTTTGCGAAAATAATTTTATAACTTTTTATTACAAACAAATGTTGTTTACTGTGTTAAGTAATTTTTTTTACTGTGTTAAGTAAGACATTACGTAAACTAAACTATATTTTAACCGTAAAAAATGTTTTTGCCAAAAAGCACCGTTTGCGGAAATAATTATAAAACTTTTTTATCACAAACATTTTTTTTACAGTGTTAAGTAAGACTTATAACGTAAACTAAACTAAATTTTAATAGAAAAAATTGTTTTGTTAAAAAACACCGTTTTGGGTAAATAATTTTATAACTTTTTTATTCCAAATATTTTTTTTTACTGTATTAAATAAAACTTATAACGTAAACTAAACTAAATTTTAATAGAAAAAATGTTTTGTTTAAAAGGACCGTTTTGCGAAAATAATTTTATAACTTTTAAATTACAAATATTTTTTTTACAGTGTTAAGTAAGACTTATAACGTAAACTAAACTAAATTGTAATAGAAAAAATTGTTTTGTTAAAAAACACCGTTTTGGGTAAATAATTTTATAACTTTTTTATTCCAAATAATTTTTTTTACTGTGTTAAATAAGACTTATAACGTAAACTAAGCTAAATTTTAATAGAAAAAAATGTTTTGTTTAAAAGGACCGTTTTGCGAAAATAATTTTATAACTTTTTATTACAAACAAATGTTGTTTACTGTGTTAAGTAATTTTTTTTACTGTGTTAAGTAAGACTTATTACGTGAACTAAACTATATTTTAACCGTAAAAAATGTTTTTGTCAAAAAGCACCATTTGCGGAAATAATTTTATAACTTTTTTATCACAAACATTTTTTTTACAGTGTTAAGTTAATGTTGTATACTGTGTTAAGTAAGACTTATTACGTAAACTAAACTAAATTTTAATAGAAAAAATTTTTTGTTAAAAAGCACCGTTTGCGGAAATAATTTTATAACTTTTAATTACAAAAAAAAATTGTTTACTGTGTTAATTAAATTTTGTTAACTGTGTTAGATCGGACTTATTACGTTAACTAAACTAAATTTTAACCGTAAAAAATGTTTTTGTCAAAAAGCACCGTTTGCGGAAATAACTTTTAATTACAAACAATTTTTTTACTATGTAAAATAAGACTTATAACGTAAACTAAAATATATTTTAATGAAAAAAATAAAGATTTTATTTTTTTAAATTGGTTTTTTAAATGTTCAAAAAGCACCGTCTTACGGAAATAATTCTGTAACTTTTTTATTAGAAATAAAATATTTTTCTTCTTTTTTTACTGTGTTAAGTACGACTTATTGCGTAAAATAAACTAAATTTTAATAGAAAAAATGCTTTGTTGAAAAGCACTGTTTTGTGGAAATAAATAACTTTTTTATTACAAACAATTTTGTTTACTGTGTAAAGCAAGATTTTTTCTGTAAAATTAAGTATATTTCAATGAAAAAAAATAAAGATTATAATTTTTTAATGCGTTTTCAGATGTTCTAAAAGCACCGTTTTGCGGAAATAATTCTATAACTTCTTTATTAACAATATAATTTATTTCTTTCTTTTTTTACTGTGTTAATTAAGAGTCTGTACATTAGTGAAAATATTCTAGAAAACGATCTATAAAATTCAATCATTAAATATAATTTAGTTTGCTGGGTTTATCAATAAATAAATTCATATAGCGTTTGGTAGGTATGTAACAAATATGTTTTATTCACAGAAATCCGGGCTTGTCCTATTTGCAAAAAGGAATTTAACACGGCACCTAAGTTGCACACTCACATGAAAATTCACGACTTCAGACCTAGACGGTTTAAATGCCAATTTTGCAAGCTTCAATTCTACGTAAAAGCAAACATGAAACGGCATGAAAAAAAAGCTCACGGCGGTGAATACAAGTACAGGTGCGACATCTGCTACATCAAAAGGTTCCAAACAGAGCAGGAGCTCCAGCACCATGAAAACTCCCACAACAGGACCAAAAAATACTCCTGCAAAATATGCGGGGAGGCTTTTGCTAGGAGCTACCTGCTTTCCAACCACATCTTGCACGAGCACGACGTCATCATGAACGATGACGGAGATTTGATCGATGCTAAAACCTATGAGCCCACAAAACCACCCATAGAAGATGATCTTCAAAATATTGAAGAAAAAGACCCAGAAGAAGACTTCACAGAGGAAGAGATACATTTTTTTGTGGATGGAGAAAGTCTGGACGACTTAACCATTGAATATACTTAATTAGTTATGAACCCAGTCCATAATTTTTGGTGTTATTAAAGATTTCTCAGTTTTGTTATACGTCGTTTTATTTAATTCATATTTTTGAAACCACTAAACTTATCGCAAAATTTCATAGGACCTTTTTTGAAGATCGTTTCATTTCCCTCAAATTATCTCCTACAAAGTTTTCAAAATTCCCAAAGGATCTTTAGTTATTTGCGTTCGATTTTATAAACAAGATTTTCCGACTTATTTACTTTTAAATGAAAATAACTGGAGATCCGTTGGGAATTTTGGAAACTTTGTAGGAGATAATTTATGGGGAATGAAACGCTCCACAAAAAAGCTCTTATGAAATTTTGTGATAAATTTATGGTTTCACGGGAAAGTAGAAAAATCTTGAAGCATGCATTTTATGTTAATACAAAATTGGGAAAACAGATTTTCTAGGTTATATATTTTGTCCACAGATAACTCATTAACGGGGTCGTGTACTGATAAGTTCACGATATATTTTTGTTCGAAATTGAACGTTCTACAAAAAATGTCTTATCATTTTTTGATAAATTCAATCCATCAAAAGTTATTAACAGTAAATTTCAAGATTTTTCTATTTTGCCGTGAAACTACTAAACTTAACGCAAAATTTCATAGGACCTTTTTTGAAGATCTTTTCATTTCCCTTAAATTATCTCCTACAAAGTTTTCAAAATTCCCAAAGGATCTTTAGTTATTTGCGTTCGTTTTTATAAACAAGATTTTTGGAACTTATTTACATTTAAAAGGAGATCCGTTGGGAATTTTGGAAACTTTGTGGGAGATAATTTATGGGAAATGAAACGCTCTACAAAAAAGGTTCTATGAAATTTTGCGATATCTTGAAATTTACTGTAAATTGCAATATGGGTTGCCTACCTACATTGTCTTTAGAAAAAACGAATCCCTTCATTTAGGAAGCATGAATTTGTTTCTAGATTATACATTTTGTCTACAGATACATACAAACCAGAAAAAATGTTCGAAATGCGGCAAAATACTACTCAACATGGCTGCACTGAGAACTCATATGACCTACGTGCACAACAGTGGTAATCTACCGTGCGAATTCTGCGGTAAGATGATTTCCAAAGGCGGTCTCAAAGCCCACTTGAAAATCCACGCGAAAAATGAAGCCACGCTATCTTGCACGAAGTGCGACAAAAAGTTCTTCTGGAACTTCCAACTTAAAAGACACCTGGAGAGTCACTTGGTTAATAGGGTACCAAGGCATGTATGTAAACATTGCGGGGCAGCTTTTATCTCGAATTTCGGTCTTTTTAACCACGTTGCGAAAACTCACCGTCCAAGTAAGATGTCGATTAAAAAAAATTAAAAAAAAATTGTCTTTTTTTTTTAGCATTGCACACCTGTGAGTTTTGTGACAAGACTTTTCATCGAAACGATTATTATAGGAATCATATGAATTCACATTATGGGATAAAGAATAAGTCCAAGAAGAAGTATACAGAAGTATATAGATTAAGTAATTTTAATCAATATTTTTTTTTTTTTTTTTAATTTTTTTTTATTTAGAAAAAATCACATGCGAGATATGCAAAAAAGAAGTCCGTTATGAGAGGAGGAAGCTACATATGGATTCCCATAATTCAGTAAAAAAGTTCAAATGCCAATATTGTGAAATCTCATTCACTACAAAAAATAATTTAGAAAGACACGAGCAAAAGGTGCACGGTGGAAAATTAAAGTACAGGTGCAATATTTGCTGGTCAAAATTTTTGACTGAAAATGATCGAAATGTTCACAAATGCTCTGGCAAAGGAAAAAAATGCGTATGTGAAACATGTGGAAAAAGTTTCGCTAGAAAACATTTATTAACCAAACACTGCCAACAAGAACATACACCAGAAGAAGAAAATGAGGAAGAAATGGCATAAAAAATGTATTTTATATAAATAAAACTCACTACATATAAACAAATCATTTAAGAACAATGTACACTTTCATATTTATCTACATCTAAAGCTGATTTCTCTAAATTGGGCAAATGGTCGAGAAAAGGCAATATTATACCAATATACCCTTGCACACCATCCGAAAGTAAGTTAAAGTCCTTAAAAATATTTTCGTTTACTTCAATAAGTTTCCCTTGCACACCAGCATACACAGGATACTCATCTCCGTCCTCCGATTCAATAACGCACAATTTCGTATTCTCTCTCACAAGAGCAGCCCCCTTTTTCTTCTTCCCAGTCAACTTCTTTTTTGTGAGATCGTGACTTGCTTTAAAATTAACACTTTTTATATTCTTATGTTTCGTTATAATATCGTGTTTTTTCGATAGATAAATCAAAATTAATTTGTTGGTGTGTATCCTCAGCATCGTATCCAGTATTTTCCCATTTTCCTCTTTAACTAGGTATTTTTCGTCGTAATACCTTTTATGTACGGGTTTAAACGTTTCCAATTCTTCCGGGGTAATCGTTTCCAACGGCGAAACAACATAATGTTGGAAACTATCAGCGTGTATTTCCATTTTGTTGTTTATACACAAAGCAAAACACATTCAAAATTGTTAGGTTAGGTGATGAAAATTGACAGTTCTTTTTTGGACAGTATGGCCAACTCATGATTTTTTCCCTAGAACTAGGGATTTTTAAAGCACGTATTTAAATATTTTGATTTATTTCGTACTTTATAACATATTTAATTCATACAAAATATGTGCTGTTTGTTTATTTGCCCATAACATTCTTATTTGTACGAACTATGGAATTTTTAACCAAATTTAGTGATTTTTTATGATGTTGGCAACGCTTCTTCTTCAAAATAACCTAAAATTTTCAGTCCAAATTTTACGGAATTCATCCTGCTGTAATGCCCGAGATTTTTGCCAAAGTAGATGGATTTTGCTCCGACTGTGGGTCAATATTGCCACCCCTTAAGGAAAAAGGGGAAATAGTGTGTTACGCCTGTTCCAGAAATTTTAAACCTGAAGGTAAGTCAGCATGTAAAGAAGTGAGGTTAAAACCGTTTGACAGATGTCAGATTTTGAAAAAGTGAGGTTAAAACCGGCATTTTTTAGTTTTTGGCAGTAATAGCGTACAATATTCGATACATTTTAATTCGAGAACTGCTTACGTCAAAAAGGAGCAAAAAACCGAAGATGAGGGTCCTATAGTAAAAAGAAAATGCCCGAAATGCGGGAACGAGAAAATGTCTTATGCCACGTTGCAATTAAGATCAGCTGATGAAGGTCAAACTGTTTTTTACACCTGCACCGAATGTAAATACAAGGAAAGTGAAAACTCATAAATACACAATACATTTATTTTTATTTTAAACCTAGTCTATCTCAATAACACTCTCCTTACAAATCCATGGGGTTTTATTTTCGTAATATTTAATCACAACTTCTGGACATCTGCCATTCAATTGGCTAGCCGGAACCAAGTCGGCTTCTTTGCAGTTTTTCCACATCATTAAAAACATCAATTCACCACTTGCATCAGTGGCTCCTACAATTTTGTCAGGCTCGAGCCCCCTGTCAAAACCACGAGGCCTGATGTCTTCTGAAATATCCTTACGTTTGTGCACCTTCTCTGAGTCATCTTGGTCTTTGCTCGTTGAAGTGTCAAATTGCGATTCATAGGCTGCTATAAGATCTGGACAGTCCAAATTTTCTTCTGGTTCCCAAGTATTATCCTCGCTAAAATTATAATGCTGTTTCATGTGAAACATTTTTTTAAATTTAACTCACTCAGAATATCCCTTCCATTTCAAAAGATACTCGATTTTTCCATTGCAAGCCCTTTTGTCCAAGATTTTTTCCACTGAAAACTCCTCAGGGGTGTCCGACGGTTCATCTTTTGCCTTGGCTAGTTAAGTTAATTCAATATAGTGATATAGCAACTACATTTTATGTTATACTTACGTCTTCCCATGTTTTTCTACGGTTTTTACGAAAATAAACAAAGATGCGTCTAGTTATTTTAGGAATGTCATGTTGCAAGTTTGAAATGAGAGTGTTGCCAACTTAGGCATTTTTCCCTAGTTCTAGGGATTTTTTTGCATTTCACTTATACACAAAAACGTTTATAGAAATAATACTATTATTATTATTTGTATAGATTATTAATTTATCTGTAATTTAAAATAAAAATAATTAAAATCCGTTAAATATAATATATAATAAATAATATGACGAACGAAACTTATATTTATACACAGTGCACTGTCAAACACATAATTAGGTTAGAAAGTGTCTACTGTCACGCACAGATCCCAAAGGTACAAGAACGCAAGAAGACTTAAGGTAGGAGATAAAACTATTTGCAAAAATTCATGTGAAATGCATTGTCAAACTCACAATTAGGTTAAGTTTTAAGATATTGAAGTTAAGCGTGCGTGTACTCTAAAGGGAAATGAAATTAAAATTGAAAGTTTCTAATTAATTACTATTTTTATTTTTTAACACTTAAAATGTAAGTGTTTTTATTTATAACTAAACTTATAAGTGGTTAGTCAGACCTGGTCAGTTATTTCGCAAAAATATCCAATTCAATAGTTTTATCTCCTACATTTAGTCTTCTTGCATCTTTAGAATCTGTGCGTGACAGTAGACACTTCCTAACCTAATTATGTGTTTGACAGTGCACTGTGTATAAATGTAAGTTTCGTTCGTTATATTGTTTATTATTAAAATAAAATTGTTCAAAACACCTTTCTCCCGATTTCTTTTCCCAATTACACCAATCAACCTGTAAATTTAGTGTTAGTTTAGATACTTTAATGGAAAAATAAAATTGATAACCATATTAGGCAACCAAGATTACGTACACCAAAAAAATGTTTAATTGTATTTATTTAAAGAAAACCGTTATTGTAAGACATGTTTATTAACGTTTTTACTCTGTTTTAGGGACTAAAGCCTGTCTGTTTCTTAAACTACTAAATTTATAAGCAAAGAAAAACATTTTTTAGGCAACCACGACATAACCTCACTTGTTTAAAAATCCGGCTTTTTGTATTTGTTATGATTTTGTTTGTGTTTGTTGCGATACTTTTGAACGGAAAATTAAAATGCTGCCGCCAGCCAAAAGACACTGCACCGTGATCATAGACGATTTGCAAGAATTCGAAAAATCCTTTAAAAAGCTGCTGTATGTAAAATAGAATATAAACACCAAAGACACTTGTAGAGTGATTGTTATGAATTCCAATAAGACCCAGAATAAGTTCGATTATAAGGGGATATGCGTTTTAACCCAGGAAACACCGTACACGGATCCACATTAGATGTTGGAAAACATCCCCGATGTCGTGGAAGAGAAAGAAGATAGTAGCAGCTGGTTGGAGGCACCTAAAGCAGCCTGCGACTTTATTGTGGAGGATTTCGATGCATGCAACTATAAAAACTGACAAAGTCTTCGACTTTTTTGATATTATAAAATGCGTGAAAATGCACGACAGGCTTGTTCCAATCAGAGATGCGAAGAGATTTCATGTTGAAGGTGAGTGATGTTTTAAATTACTGGTGATGATTGAGAGGTACTCTTCACTCAAGGTTACTGGACTTTACCGTCAAAAATGACAGATTTAAAAATAAAATTGTTTGACAACTATCACCTGTCATATTTGACACATGTCTTGTCATTTTTTGTTAATTATTGTCATTTAGCCTTTGTCATTTTTGACAGATGTCATCTTATTTTCGACATGTAGTTTTTTTTGACATATGACATTTGTATTTAAAAAACTGCTTTTTAGACACAACTTTTGACAGTTCTAAATCCTAAATTCTACGCCTGTGGCTTCTAAAATGACCTATGAAGAGAAACCGATAAAAACTGCACCTGAAATTCACATAGACTCAGATCTGGAAAATTATATGGATAATTTGGAGGAAAAAATTATGCCACCCATGATTATGGTAATATTAATAAGAGAAAATAAAAAAATAATGAACCAAATTTTGATTTTTTTAGGTTTTGAGTTTGGCGCTTCCCTCTTTGAAAATCCATGACCATCCCTTCAAGAAAAAGTGAGGTGGTTTTATTTAAACTTTTACTTCAAAAATGTGTTATGTGTGTTTTATTTTTGCTAGTCATTTAATGTTTACCTAATGTTAATAAACTTTTTATTAAAGAACATCAATTTTTATTTACCCACCTGAACAATAAATTGAAATACAAAAATCCCAAAACTTTAACAAAATTTTAAAAAAGTACCAAGATCTGGGATTTCTTGGAAATCTGGCAACATCGCTTTGTATCAGGAGTATACCTCCTCGCGTTTCTGCGATCCTAATAAAAATCCGAAAATTTTAAAATTTTACGAAATGGTCGAAATTTTTAAGAAATTTTAAAAAAGTACCAGAATCTGAGATTTTTCGGAAATCTGGCAACATCGCATTGTATCAGGAGTATACCTCCTCGCTTTTCTGCGATCCTAATAAAAATTCGAAAATTTCAAAATTTTAATAAATGGTTTAAATTTTTCAAGAAATTTTGGAAAAGTACCAGGATCTGGGATTTTTCTGAAATCTGGCAACATCGCATTGTATCAGGAGTATACCTCCTCGCGTTTCTGCTATCCTAATACAAAATCGAAAATCGCAAAATTTTAATAAAAATTTAATCCATTTCATAAAATTTGAAATTTTCGAATTTGTATTAGGATAGCAGAAACGCGAGGAGGTATACTCGTATACAATGCGATGTTGCCAGATTTCCGAAAAATCCCAGATCCTGGTACTTTTTCAAAATTTCTTGAAAAATTTAAACCGTTTATTAAAATTTTGAATTTTTCGAATTTTTATTAGGATCGCAGAAACGCGAGGAGGTATACTCCTGATACAATGCGATGTTGCCAGATTTCCAAAAAATCCCAGATCCTGGTACTTTTTTAAAATTTCTAATACAAATCCGAAAATCGCAAAATTTTACTATTTTAAATTTTTATAAAGTACCATGATCTGGTATTTTTCAGAAATATGGCAACATTGAATTGTATATTTTTACTTACCAAATATCTGAAAGAACGAAGGAAATAAAATAAAAAGGCTTCTATTTATTTTTAAAATATATTTTATTGCAAAATAAAAATAATAAATATTCATAACAAACAAAAAAATATCACAAGAAAAAGATCATGGGGAAATACAAAAATTATAATTTGTAATGGTTTTCATACAAATTTAACAATTCTTTGGTGGATTGCGCTAGAAAGTTGTCTGTATCGCGTTTGGCAATTTTTTTAATAAATATGTACTTAGTCTTGTTGTGTACACTCAACTTGCCCAAAATTTCTACCGAATTACCTTGTTTTAAGTCGTCAAACTTCGGCGAACTTTGCAGAACACCCTGTGTTTTTTTCGTCATCATTATGGCACTTTTTAGTACCATGTCATCAGGTCGATCTTTTAATTCTTCATACAGTTTCTTTAATCTGTCATTAACGTTATTTTCCACTGTTTGGTGCGGATTTTTTTCGAAAATGCACACAATAGCGGCCGTACCGTCATGCAAAACGATGCATTCTCTTTCATTGTGCACATATTTTGAGGTAATCGTACCAAAAACTTCCACTTGCTTAAAAACCATTTGTTTTAACTCAAAGCAATCTTCAGTTGTAGTGACTTCGTTTAAACTTCTAATAAACAGTCTTACAACCTTTAACTTTCGAAAAATAGCGTTATTATTAGCGATAAAGTTGTTTTTAACCTCAAACCACCTCTCGACTGGTTTGTTTAATTCGTCTTCATTTCTAACAAATATTTTTGTTGTTTCTGGTGTATTCACAGTGACAACCCAATCTTTATCGGTATTTAACAACTCCAAAACGTTTTTATCGATACATTCCTGCTCTTCAAGCTTTTCCTTAATGCTAGGCAAAGTTTTATCGTTGTTCAATTTAAGTTCGATAAAATCTTTTTTATCTGTACTGTTGAATATTTTAACTGTATTTCCTTCTGTTTGTGTTACAACCCATTCCTCAGAAGCTTTATCCAGCATTCCTTTTAGTTCTGTTATTTTTTTCCGTGACATTATGTTTTTTGAGGTTAGAATTTTTGAGTGATGATTTTAGCCCCGAAAAACATGAAAATGAAGCTATATTATCAACATTTTTTTTATTTTTGTTGAGATATTACGGTACTCTTTGATACATTTTGTACTTTTCTCGAGATTTTTGTATTTATGCATTTTCGATCTGTAATGCATACTGGGTTGCATACCTACGGCGCGCCGTGAGTTAGGCAACCAAGTATGCGTCTCAGTTCGAATACGTCAAATATTAAGATTTTTGTAATTGGCGCCAATAAATGAGTTTAATTTTTAATTTTGTATATGATATTATTAATAATAAGGCTTCAATCTATTCTCTTTTAATATATACAGTAATACACGTAAGAAAATGTACAAGAAAGAAATTCAGCGAAATAAACATCTTACTTCTAAAAGTTTGGAAATAAATCATAAGAATAATCTTAAAGTTAAAAATTAAAATTAAAAAGTCGCACATGTAGTTAATCCACAGGTTTGTTGTTTTCGTCCAACGTTGAAGAGTGCCACTTCAATCTCTCCTCGTAGAACTGAATCACAACTTGGGGGCACTTGATGTTCGCTTGTTTTGCTGGAACCAAGTCGGCCTCGTCCGTGCCCGACCACTTGATCAAAAACATCAACTGACCTGCGGAAAACAAACGATTAAATACAAACATAACCCCACTTGTTGTCGTGGCAATTCAAACCTGGGCTGTCTGTGGCTCCTATGATTTTTTCGGCGGCCAATCCTCGATCGAAGCCGAGGCATTTTTTGTCGTCTATTGGTTTTCTCTTGGCTAACGTGCTGCTGTCATTGGTTGTGGCAGTCGGCGCTTTGCGTTTGTTTTTCTCGCGCTCTTTCTGAGCCGCCTCGAAGGCGGAGATCAGGCCGGGGCAGTCGAGATTTTCCTCGGGTTCCCAGGTGTTGTCTTTGTCGTCGTAACTGGAGAGAAAAAATTGCAAAACTTGCTAAAACATTCAGCGAACTACATACCCAATCCATTTCAAGTAGTACTCCTTAACGCCCTGCTCGTTTATGCGGCTATCTATGATTTTCTCCACGACGTACTCTTCAGGAGCGTTCGGTTCTTCTACGGGAACCTCTGGGGCACTCATTTTACTTCAATCTGGTCGCCTCTGCAAAACAAAACAATCAACAACACTTCGACAAAGCCGGCGTTGCAAACAAATGCCACAGGAATGACGCTAACGCCAACTTAATAAAAATAAACTAATACCTGTCAAATAACCAGGGAACAATCGAAAACGATTTAAACGTGCGTAATGATGAGAAATTTGTGACGAAACCAGGAAATTTAAGCGATACGTTTATCGGACGCCAATGCTGACTGCATTAAAACAAAAATGGCCGACTTTCGAGCGGCGTTGCCGGTTTTTTAAGATGCTTCACATTTCAAAATCGTACCGTTAAATAAAGTTTCTTGTTAATGAGTTTTGTAGAGTTTATTTTGTTTACATTTATTTACGTCGCAACGTTTATTGTTTAATTATTTTAAGTAGGTATGTTGAAATTACGCTTTTCTACAGTTATTTTTCAACGATTTATATAAATCCTCGGTAGTATAGTGGTAAGTATCCCCGCCTGTCACGCGGGAGACCGGGGTTCGATTCCCCGCCGGGGAGGATATTTTTTTAACTTTTTTTACATGTCTTAAATTTTTATTAAATAAACAATGTCTTTTAAAAGTCCATAAAATGACGTAAGTTTGAAAAAAATCATATTTTATTGATTAAATTAAATTCTTATTTCAATGGACAGCAATACTGCTTCATTTGAAGAGTTTGATAAATAAATAAATTCAGCGGTGCCAATGTGGTAAAAAAATAAAACGTTGTATTTTAATTAACAAATTATTAAACAGATTTATGCAGCACAAATTAACATTAACATTATCATTTTATTACCCTCACGTGCACCCTCACGTGCTCCCTCACGTGCGCCCTCACGTGCGCCATCACGTGCGCCTTCACGTGCGCCATTTTAGGGTACAAAAAAGAATCGAATTTTTTTGTCTCAAAACAATTTTTAATTTAAATATTTCCTATAAAAACGGTGGGAGGGTTTGACCATTCGTCACATTTTTCACCTAACGAAACAATAATTGATTAAACTAGAGTGATGATTAATTATGGTACCTAATTACTCTAACTGTAAATAAAATTTTAAATTTATACGGGGGTTCGTTTTTGATTGATTTAAGCAAAGCATTACTTATTCACCCATTTGAATGTCCACCCTCGTATTATAGTCTTACATTACCTACTAACATACACTTATAAACACAACAAGGGTGTACCTAACCACCCACTTACCCTCGCAATGCAAACAAAATATAATATTACAAAACATGAAGGTTTCACAAAAAAACCTTTTACTTATAACATTATTTAACTAAGAATATTATAGACATCAAAATTTAATTCCGTGATAATATCAACATTTTTATTTACCTTATGGGTGTTTTGATTTCTAGTAGAGATACAAAAACACGAACACTCTAAAACGTTTTTATTATACTCATGTCATATACAATTTTACAGTTAAAAAGTTGGACGTAAGTTTTACAACAACTTAAGTTTTAAAAGTGATAATATCATTGTAAAAATGTATTTAACAAGTGATTCTTTCGAAATCATGAAACCATTTATATTGGTCACAAGATGCTTTGGATTATGTCCACTGACGTACGAAAAAAAAGGATCAAACTATCAATTAAACAAATCATTTAAATTTATATTATACAGCTATTTCTTGGCATTCGGGTTGGGTAAGTTTATAAATAAATATATCAAGATTTACATATTTTCAAAGTAGGTAAAAATTACTAACATTTGATATAAATATTTTTGAAATTGGGTAAAAAATAACAAAACTACAGACTGTCAAAGTTTTTAACTTAATTTTAGGAAAACTAAAATCGACACCACTTTATATTTTGTAGATAATCTTGATAAATTAGTACTGGGCATATTAAGATTTTTACATATTCTTAAAGTGGATAGAATTAGGTATCTAACATTTGATATAAATAATTTTAAAATTGGGTAAAAAATAACAAAACTACAGACTGTCAAAGTGGGTCTTAATTTTAGGAGAACTAAAATCTTCTTCTAATGTTTTTTAGTGACAATGACTTTCATAGGAGTCATGAACGATTTAGACCAGGACGAAAAAAAATCAAACAGAATGAAATCGAAGAAAACTCGATACATCACATGTTGTGATATAAGTGTTGTTATAGTTTTAGTTCTATATGCAGTTTTATCAACCCCATTTAAAATAAAGAATTTTTGGAAATTACTGCAATGTTTTAATACTGTACGTTTGTTTTTAATTTATAGCAAATTTGTTTTAAATTTATTTTCCATAGTTGGACAGTGTTCTGCCTTTGGACAACGTCAAACAGCACAAGAACAATTCAAGAAATTTCATCATTTTAATATTGGCTTTGTTCTCAATAATAATTATTTTTGACATGTCAGTTTGGTCTACTTTATCGAAGAAAAATCACACCCACTTAACTTTTTGGAAGGACTACTGGGCGTTTTATTTGCTATACTACATCGTTATAATGCAGGAGGTATTTTATCCCTATGTCGACATTTTTCATTATTTCGTTAAAATTTTAACACTGTAAAGATATGTGAAGCTTCCACATTTTGTAAATTTTATTAAAATTGGACAAACATTGTTCACGCCACAAATCAATATACTGGATAGTAAACAGTTTTTACTGTTTAAAATTATAAGCAATTTAGTGAATTGATTTGATAAAAATCAACAAAAATAGGTAAACACGTAAATATAATAATAAATAGCTAGGCTTAAATTTTATAACCAGATTTAAAAATTTCTCGTTTGTAGATATACTTTTGCCACCTGGTATACTTCGTAAGAATTCGTCTGACATCTTTAAATAAAGCTCTACAAAACGAAGCTAAATCAGCCGAGCAGCTAAAGCTGAGACACGTGGAAGATAAACCGTTTGTACAACCAGCGGTGGCAAATGATTTGATACTGAAGAACGCAAGGTTCAGGGACAATTTTTCCAGTAGCGCGAAGGTGTTTTTTAACAAATTAAATACAGGTAATGTTTACATCTAAAATGATATTTTTTGTTGTGCATCTTGTAGAACGTACAAAATCCGTTTGTTTGATACCCCACAAGCCTATATTCGTCATTTGCTTAAGGGTAGTTTTGCACGTTTAAGTATTGCGATCTTCATTTGTTCAACTTTTTTGTTTGTTGTCTAAACATGGCGATGTTGGTACTCATTTTACGTGATTTTTTGCGTAGATTACGAAGATATTAATAAAATTACGATTTACATTAAAATAAAATGAAATAATTTTTAAATGCCAAATTATATTTTTTTGTAGTGCATCTTGTAGAACGTGAAAAATCCGTTTGTTTGATACCCCACAAGCCTATGCTTAAGGGTAGTTTTGCACGTTTAAGTATTGCGATCTTCATTTGTTCAACTTTTTTGTTTGTTGTCTAAACATAGCGATGTTGGTACTCATTTTACGTGATTTTTTGCTTAGATTACGAATAAATCAATAAAAAATATGTTTTATATTAAAATAACATAATTACGAGATTCGGGGATAATTTTTCCAATATTTTGTATAAAAATTTAATTATTATTTCAGCTGATAAAATTATATCGTATAGTCAAGTATATGAAAAGCTATGGGAAGCTGTGGATCACATAAATGAATATGTTGGGTTCGGAATTATTGTAAGTATAAAAGTTCGGTTTTTTGATTATTATTAACTGTATTTTAATATTTTTTTAGATTATTTTACTGAGCTGTCTCCTGCATCTAATAGTGACGCCTTATTTCCTCCTATACGAAATTTCAAACAATGGTAGCGCCATTTTTATTAGTTTGCAGTCAGTATGGTTATTTACACATGCATCTAGACTTCTTATGATTGTGGAACCTTGTCATCAATGTTTAAAAGAGGTAGAGTACAAAAAAAATAATATTAATTTTATATAACGGGCTTATGTGAAATAAAAAAGCTTTTTATAAGTTTTTATATTAAATTTCGTTTCAGAGCTGGAAAACCATCAATTTCGTGTGCGAAATACTCACGTTCACGAAGAACAATGACACCAGATCGGCCGTAAGTTCAATAAAAACTGTCAACGCCAGATTTTCACACATAAATAATTTGAAAACTTTAAATCATGAAAGTTTAATAGAATGAAATAATTCTAAAATAATATTTTTTGTTTTGCATCTTGTAGAACGTGGAAAATCCGTTTGTTTGATACCCCACAAGTCTATGTTTGTCATTTGTTTAAGGGTAGTTTTGCACGTTTAAGTATTGCGATCTTCATTTGTTCAACTTTTTTGTTTGTTGTCTAAACATAGCGATGTTGGTACTCATTTTACGTGATTTTTTGCGTAGATCACGAAATTTTTACTTAAAATTTGTAATTTTTTAGTTATCAGTTTTTGCCATGCAGCTATCTTATTGCAAAATACGATTTCACACTTGTGGTCTTGTCAGAATTGAGAGATCACTTATTACTGCTGTGAGTTATTTTTATTACATTAAAGAGTGTAATGAAGAGAACTGATATTTTTTTATTTTTTAGGTTGTTGGTGCTGTCACTACGTATTTGGTGATATTATTTCAATTTAATAATGTTTGAGAGCTTTCGAGGAAATTAATAAATACCATTAGTATGTTTAGTTGTTTTTTTTTAAATTGTTATTAAAGTCCTTATTTCTTTTATCTACGAATATCTTGATACATGTTTAATCTAGTGAAAAGGTGCAAATAAAGGATAAAAATCCAATTTAATAAAAAGTGCAGATAAAACACTCACATTGCTTTTCTCTTTATGAGAAACATGTCTAGAATAATTGTACCAAAAACAATTTTTGAGTGTATTAAACCTATGATATGTGTAAGCAGAATAATGGGTATATCACCCTATAATTTTAAAAAAATACCAAACAATTACGAAATCGAAATATCAACTAAATATATAATATACAGCTATGTAATGGTGGTACTTATAGGTAAGTTATTAGTATACTGTTATAAAGTATAACATATCATTACTATATTGTAGTTTTTGCATCAATATTTGGACTTTATAATGTCTACAACATACAAATAATATATAATATAAGAATGGGAACCATAACAGGCCAATTCGTTACATATTTAGAGGATTTTTATTTAATGTCCACAATGCTACTTGGAGTCGTCTATGTCTCCGTTAGCTACAAAAAATTCTTTCGGATTTTGGAACGTTTATGTCAGGTATTTACATTTTTCTAAGTATCTTTAATATTTTTGTAATTATAAATGTGGCATGTTGGCCCTGTTGGTACTCATTTTACGTGATTTTTTGCGTGGATTACGAAGATATTAATAAAAATACGATTTCCTTTAAAATACAACGAAATAATTTTGAAATTCCAAATGATATTTTTTTGTTGTGCATCTTGTAGAACGTGGAAAATACGATTGTTTGATACCCCACAAGCCTATGTTCGTCATTTGTTTAAGGGTAGTTTTGCACGTTTAATTATTGCGATCTTCATTTGTTCAACTGTTTTGTTTGTTAACTAAACATAGCGATGTTGGTACTCATTTTACGTTATTTTTTGCGTAGATTACGAAGATATTAATCAAAATACGATTTCCTTTAAAATACAATGAAATAATTTTGAGATGTCAAATGATATTTTTTTGTTGTGCATCTTGTAGAACGTGGAAAATCCGTTTGTTTGATACCCCACAAGCCTATGTCCGTCATTTGTTTAAGGGTAGTTTTGCACGTTTAAATATTGCGATTTTCATTTGTTTAACTTTTTTGTTTGTGGTCCAAACATAGCGATGTTGGTACTCATTTTACGTTATTTTTTGCGTAGATTACGAAGATATCAATAAAAATACGATTTTCTTTAAAATACAATTAAATATTTTTGAAATGCCAAATGATATTTTTTTGTTGTGCATCTTGTAGAACGTGGAAAATCCGTTTGTTTGATACCCCACAAGCCTATGTTCGTCATTTGTTTAAGGGTAGTTTTGCACGTTTAATTATTGCGATCTTCATTTGTTCAACTTTTTTGTTTGTTGCCCAAACATAGCGATGTTGGTACTCATTTTACGTGATTTTTTGCGTAGATTACGAAGATATCAATAAAAATACGATTTTCTTTAAAATACAATGAAATAATTTTGTGATGCCAAATGATATCTTTTTGTTGTGCATCTTGTAGAACGTGAAAAATCCGTTTGTTTGATACCCCACAAGCCTATGTTCTTCATTTGTTTAAGGGTAGTTTTGCACGTTTAATTATTGCGATCTTCATTTGTTCAACTTTTTTGTTTGTTGTCTAAACATAGCGATGTTGGTACTCATTTTACGTTATTTCTGCGTAGATTACGAAGATATTAATAAAAATACGATTTCCTTTAAAATACAATGAAATAATTTTGAGATGTCAAATGATATTTTTTTGTTGTGCATGTTGTAGAACGTGGAAAATCCGTTTGTTTAATACCCCACAAGCCTATGTTCGTCATTTGTTTAAGGGTAGTTTTGCACGTTTAAATATTGCGATTTTCATTTGTTCAACTTTTTTGTTTGTAGTCCAAACATAGCGATGTTGGTACTCATTTTACGTGATTTTTTGCGTAGATTACGAAGATATTAATAGAAATACGATTTCCTTTAAAATACAATGAAATAATTTTGAGATGTCAAATGATATTTTTTTGTTGTGCATCTTGTACAACGTGGAAAATCCGTTTGTTTGATACCCCACAAGCCTATGTTCGTCATTTGTTTAAGGGCAGTTTTGCACGTTTAAGTATTGCGATCTTCATTTGTTCAACTCTTTTGTTTTTTGTCCAAACATAGCGATGTTGGTACTCATTTTACGTGATTTTTTGCGTAGATTACGAAGATATTACAAAAACTATTATATCTACAAAAAATCCACAAAATCCATTTTGTAGGGAATTTTATAACCTACAAATTGGTATTTAGTCATTTTAACGTATTGTCAGAGATATTAACAAAAAATGCTTTTTTAGATCGATGAGATATTAGAAGTAAAAACAAATAGAAAAAACACCTATTTGCTGATGACGGTATTATCAACATCCATGGCTTTCGCGATTTTATCCATAGATATGACCTGTTGGATCAATGTTGCCGCTTCTAGCAAATCTGCGTACATGGTTGCCACATATATACCTTTTTACGCTACATATTTATTTACTTTATTGGTTGAACTAAACTATTGGCATTTGGTGCACTTATTACAAGTACGGTTGGAGTCTTTGAATGAAAAACTACTAAAATTCGAGAAAAATTTTAATATCAAAGTTACGCCGGCGTTTTATAAGAAAAATAAAAAAATTAACAATGTTATTGATAATATAACTTTGTATAACGTTTTTAAGATCAATGATTCCCAGAAAGATCTAAAAAATTTAATGAAAGTCTACGAGATTATTTACGAATGTTCAGTGGATGTGAATAATTTTTATGGGATATTGATATTGGTAAAAATTAATAATAAAATAATAATTTTACAAAAAATACTTACGTTTTGTAGGTTGTTCTGATTGGCTGTCTTATCCACCTTCTAGTGACTCCATACTGCCTGTACCTGCAAATAAAAAATACAAATCAAACTTTATTTATTGCCTCACAACTATTTTGGATGGTTTGTCACATACTGAGGCTTATTTTGATTGTGGAACCTTGCCATGTTTGCAAAACTGAGGTAAAAAACTTAAATAAAAATAACAATGTTGGTATTAACACCGCGCAAACTTAACACCCTGTATAAATAAAATTGCGATATTTAGAAAACACTTTTTTGATCAAGAAAATTTGTTCCCCACAAATTTTTTGTGAAGTCAGTGGTTTCTGAGATATTTCACTTAGACCTAAACTGGACCTATACATATATAAAAATAGATTTTTCTCAAAAACGGTTCATTTTATCGATATCGAACAGGAGTACTTTTCTTTAGTAAAAGGTTCAAACTATCAAAAAATATTATTTTTGTTTTATTGCTATACAGGGTGTTTAAAATATAAATAGAGCATGGGAAAGATTTATTTAATACATACATTTTTAGGTTGTAAAAACTGGCAGCATTATTTGCAAACTTATGCTTACTTACCATTACAATGAAAATATTAAAGCACAGGTTGAGAATGAAAATATTTTATTTATTTATTTATTTATTATTATTAATTTTAGCTTGAAATGTTTGCAAGTCTGCTCTCACATTGCAAAATAATATTTACAGCCAATGGTTTAACTATAATAGACAGACATTTACTAACTACGGTAACATTTAAATCAAAATAATAAAAAAAATGATTAACTTTGTTTTTTAGATTACTGGAACTGTCACCACATACCTTGTAATTTTATTTCAATTCAACAATTAAAAATGTAAATAATTTTACTAATAAAGAACAATTAAAAAAAACATTAACAATTTTTTTTTAAATAAAATATGCTCATATGCATTTTTTTCTATATACCCTGTATAAAATGTGACTTGGATCTTTTAAACATTCACCCCAAGTAGCGGTAAGTTCAATCCCCTCATTATATCAGCGACAGTCAGTCGCTTGCTTTGAAATCGATATGAACCTTGGAAAATTATAGCCAGATGGCGCCAAAATTTCAGGCTGAAAACAGTGGAAACTGAGAGACCACACCGTTTCGTTATTAGTCCTGAATAATCCTGAAAACCCAGTATGTAGATATCTCGTTACATTTGTTGCATATATTTGTTGATTTTAGTTTTTTTGTAGTATATTCCCCATGGTATACGTAAACGAGCTAAGAAGATGTTAAATTTAAAATGTTTATTAGTTATTTGCACAATAATTTCTGTGGTGTTTGGAAAAGAGTTTAATACTTCCAAATATGATTATAAAGGTAAGTTTTTTTATTATTTATTTAGTAAAATATACATAATTGGTAAGTTACATAATGAATTTGTTTTAAATGTCAAAATATATTTATTAAAATATAGTGACCTTTCTGAAATTATCAGAGCATATGCTACATAATTCGAAAAAGGTCACTATATAGGTATATTTTGACCTTTTGTTCCTTCCCTCCATTTTAGAAACAACCGAATCAAACAAACAAACAACAGAGTATCTAAAACAGGAAACAACACTACAAAAGGCGATTTCCTGGCTTATTACTCAAAGGGAAACGAATTGGGGTTGGAGGAATGACACTCCAAAAGTTTTGACGGCCATACAACTGGCCAACCTGGACAAGGTTGGCGAGGAATCCCCCCTGTCTAACCTGGAAATGCAACTGTCAACCAAACAGATGGAAGTGGAGATAGTTTTGTTACTATGGAGGTGAGTTTATATATATTGGTATCGTCACAGCGAAAACCAAACCCCCTGTATACATAAAAATGCGATATTTAGAAAGCACTAGTTGGGCCATGAAAATTTGTACTTTACAAATTTTCTGCAAGTCCAGTGGTTTCCGAGATATCTCACTTAGACCGTACTTGGACCTAGACTGGACCTGACTTACATATAAAACTAAGTTTTTCTCGAAAACGGTTCATTTTATCGACATCGAACAAAAATACTTTTTTTTAGTTTAAGGTTCGCGCTACCCGAAAATATCATTTTTATACAGGGTGTTTAATTTTTACTTGTTTTAGACATCACGAGGTCCCGTTAACACCACCACAACTGGCCCAATACTCTCTAGCCCTGAATTCTCTGTGTTACGACCCGAAACAATTCCACGGGCATGATTTGATCGCGACTTTACAACACCACGAGCCAGTGCACGATCTAGATTTTGCGCTGGCTACGTTAAGCGCGTGTACATCTAGATCCCACGTCCGGAAGAAGCAAATTAGACGGCTGCTTGATATAGCAAACACGGCTAAGGACCACAACATAGGTAAGAATACTGTTTGGCTTACAATTTTATACGTATTTGTGGTTTTAGATACGGTAGCAATGACGATTTTGGCACTGAGGTGTATAGTGAAGGATCACCGTCACAGAAATTTGCAACACTCTTTGAGAAGACCCAGCATAAGTTTGGCAAGGCAGCAGCAACACGACGGTGGATTCGGCAACGTCTATAACACCGCATTGACCATGCAGGTATGTCGGATATTGTTGATATTTTGATATTTTTTTGTTCTGCATCTTGTAGAACGTGGAAAATCCGTTTGTTTGATACCCCACAAGCCTATGTTCGTCATTTGTTTAAGGGAGTTTTGCACGTTTAAGTATTGCGATCTTCATTTGTTCAACTTTTTTGTTTGTTGTATAAACATAGCGATGTTGGTACTCATTTTACGTAATTTTTTGCGGAGATTACGAAGATATTAATAAAAATGCGATTTCCTTTAAAATACAATGAAATAATTTTGAAATGCCAAATAATATTTTTATGTTGTGCATCTTGTAGAACGTGGAAAATCCGTTTGTTTGATACCCACAAGCCTATGTTCGTCATTTGTTTAAGGGCAGTTTTGCACGTTTAAGTATTGCGATCTTCATTTGTTCAACTTTTTTGTTTGTTGTCTAAACATAGCGATGTTGGTACTCATTTTACGTGATTTTTTGCGGAGATTACGAAGATATTTCAAAAACTATTATGTTTACAAAAAATCCACAAAATCCATTTTGTAGGGATGTTTATAACCTACAAATTGGTATTTTGTATGTCGGGTAGTGTCAGAAGAACGATATAAATCATTTTGCTGCATTTTTTATTTTTAGGCTTTACACGATGTAAACGAGGTTTTCAACCACTGGAACAAATCTTCGGCTAGAAGTTACATCGAGACTAGGCAGGACCCTGATGGGGCGTTCACGGACCCCAATTTGACAGCTGATGTTATTTTGGCGCTAAGCGAAAAAGGTTTCGGTTCAATCCGAAACTTAGACTGCGGAAAATACGACAACGACATGGAAAACCAAGTTGAAATTGACGGTTTGGTGAAAACACCATCCATCCACGGTAACGATTCGGAAATAAGGAACGTCACCGTGACGTACACGTTGTGGTTTGGCACGAACGTTACGGAAAACACCTCTATAAGCATAACAGCGCCGAGAAACACGTCTTTCTACAACATAATGCAATCGGCCATGAATCTGGACAACAGATTCACTTTCGAGGCAAGCGAATGGCCCAACGGGCATTACGTGCATACTCTAGCCGGGTTTAAAGAGGAACCAATGGGTTACCACTACTGGCTACTCTACAGACTACCGGAGTTTCCGGACCCGATGGCCCCGCCCGCCAATCAACTGGTAGCTCCCGTGGGAGTGGACGACCTTCTGATCGAAGAAGGCGATCATTACTTGTTTTGGTACAAAAAGTTGTAAGCACAAACTTATACGTCAAAAATTTACATTTTTGATAAAATTGCTGAAATGCTGAGAAAAAATCCGTTTCAATGAATGGTCGCAACCCATATCTAGGAACACCCTGTATACACCTCGATTGCGTTTTGTTTTTCGTTATTTTACGTCCAAAATACGTCATGCGACCCCTTAATCGAACGGAAATTTTCCTGGCTATTCGTTGGTTTAATTTAAAATTAATTATATATGCTTATAAGTATCATCAATATTTTGTAAAGTATATAAAATAAAAATATTTATTGATAATGTTAGGAAGACAGGGATTGGTTAATACACACACACATTCATACAAAATAAGTGAAGTATACAATAATATGTAATTTAAATTCCATCCCTGAATAAAAATGTTAAGTATGTATATTATAAAAAACACAGTAAAAATAATTCTTACTGTGTTTTCTGTGCTTTGCCTTGTTTCTCTGTATCAAGTGAGCTTGTTTGTGCTAATAATATAAATATATTTAATGTAGGTCATATATAAAACATATATTTACAAAATATAATAATATAAGTTAATTTTAATTTTTAAATATTGTTTATATGAATTGTTGTCTAATCACTTAATCCCTTAATTGATCAGGTTACAAAGCGTTTAAGAAGTGACTTAAATTGTACCCTCTGTGTTTTTTTGACGTTTTTTTCTCACCTAATTTTAAACTGTCAAATTTTGTCACACATTAACGTACAAATTTGGTTAAAATAGAATGACGTCAAAATGCAGAGGGACTACACAATCCCCACAAAAACGTATTTTGGGAAAACTCTGCCACACACGTTGTGAGGTGTTTTTATATGTAGTGTGTAGCAGAGAGTACCTGCCATTTTTGACATTTCCCGAAAAAATCAAGTCAAAAATTACAGGATCTCCTCTAGTCTATAGGGAATTAGTTAAACTGTTATTACATGCAAAAATTGTTGAAAACTGAATATTTTGTTACAGTAAACTGGGCTTTTAAAATAAACACACAAAACTACGAGATTTTTAATTTTAACCATCATCATTGAAACAAGCACAAAAATTCCTTTAAATCGAGTGGTCGCAACCCATAGTTTAAACGACAAATAAGCACAACACGACCGTCTTTTGTTATTTCTTATTTTACGTCCGAAACACGTCATCCGACCCCTCAAACAAACGGAAATTTGATTTTATGCCCAAAAATAATGTCGAAAAAACAATATTTTTAAAATCGACAAATCAATCTGTTAAGGGGCATTTCCGCGTATGATTTCTTTTGTTTTTTGACATTTCCCGAAAAATCAAGTCAAAAATTACAGGATCTCCTCCAGTCTATAGTTGAACATGCAAAAAATTTTTGAAAACTGAATATTTTGTTACAGTAAACTGGGCTTTTAAAATAAACACACAAAACTACGAGATTTTTAATTTTGACCATCATCATTGAAACAAGCACAAAAAGTCCTTTAAAACGAGTGGTCGCAACCCATACTTCAAACGACAAACACCACAAGACGACCGTCTTTTGTTATTTCTTATTTTACGTCCGAAACACGTCATCCGACCCCTCAAACAAACGGAAATTTGATTTTATGCCCAAAAATAATGTCGAAAAAACAATATTTTTAAAATCGACAAATCAATCTGTTAAGGGGCATTTCCGCCTATGATTTCTTTTGTTTTTTGACATTTCCCGAAAAATCAAGTCAAAAATTACAGGATCTCCTCCAGTCTATAGTTGAACATGCAAAAAATTTTTGAGAACTGAATATTTTGTTACATTAAACTGGGCTTTTAAAATAAACACACAAAACTACGAGATTTTTAATTTTGACCATCATCATTGAAACAAGCACAAAAAGTCCTTTAAAACGAGTGGTCGCAACCCATACTTCAAACGACAAACCACATATCAGAGTGCGTCTTTTGTTTTTTCTTATTTTACGTCCGAAATACGTCAACCGACCCCTCAAACGAACGGAAATTTGATTTTACGCCGAAAAAAAATGTCGAAAAAATAATATTTTCATAATCGACAAATCGGACTGTTAAGGGGCATTTCCGCGTATGATTTCTTTTGTTTTTTTTTCAAACGGTGGTTGAACTTGTCATGCAATTTACCTGTCAGATGTTATTTTGCTAAGTGCACGGTGCCACAAAACTAGAATTTGGGGTGGATATATATTTTACAAAAAAAATCATACCAATAACTTGTTTTTAAATATTTTTAAATTCATTAAATTTGGCGTAACAAATAAGTTTTTATTTTAGACAATTTTTCAGTTTTTTATAGTTTTGAATTTATTGATTTAAGACTTTTAGAACTGTTCTTTGCCTCCAAACGTTAAAAGTTAGGTTTCGTATACATTTTAGATCACTGTGAGACGCTTAGTGGACCGACGCCGAGCTATGACGACGCCCTCACCCCAGACTCAGTGCTGAACAGCGTCGCAAAGCGTTGCAACGCCTAACAGCATCCAAAATCTAAACATCAATTATCTTAATAAAAAATAACATGAAAAGCACGAAATGTAACTAAAACTGTGACCAAAAACCTGGAAATAATGAAATTAAGGTGAGATTCAACCGATATTAAGCGCATTTTTACTTATTTTAATTTAATAGTTAATTAGCGAGTTTATTTACAAAAAATTATAGATTATATTTACTTAAAACCTCTTTATAAATCCCGATAACATTGAATCGATAATCTGGCGCCTTATAACAATATACATAGATATGTATATCCTGTGAGCACGCGATCCTTTAGATTGACACATGCATCCAAAGAAAATTTATTTCACATCATCAATTTTTTTGCATATATGTAATCCTCACAAAAAATCCTTTAAAACGAGTACCCACAACCCATACTTTACCTCAAAAACAAAAAAAAACAAAAGCTATCGCCGCAATTATTTTTCAGCTGTCATTTGTTCGATGGTCGTGCAAAGTATGGCTTGTGGGGTATCAAACGACCGGTTTTTTGATTTTCTTTTCAGTAATACATGTTTTAGGTTATAGAAATTATTCCGACATAATTTATTTTACAATTTTAAAAATATTTTTAGATATTTTTAATTCTTACGAAAAATCCTTTAAAACGAGTACCCACACCCCATACTTTACCTCAAAAAAAAAAAAACAAAAAGCTATCGCCGCAATTGTTTTTCAGCTGTCATTTGTTCGATGGTCGTGCAAAGTATGGCTTGTGGGGTATCAAACGACAAGGTTTTTTGATTTTCTTTTCAGTAATGTTTACTTTAGGTTATAGAAATTATTCCGACATAATTTATGTTACAATTTTAAAAATGTTTTTAGATATTTTTAATCCTCACGAAAAATCCTTTAAAACGAGTACCCACAACCCATACTTTACCTCAAAAAACAAAAAAAAACAAAAGCTATCGCCGAAATTATTTTTCAGCTGTCATTTGTTCGATGGTCGTGCAAAGTATGGCTTGTGGAGTATCAAACGATGGGGTTTTTGATTTTCTACAAGGTTGCGTGTGTTTTAGGTCACACAATTTTCCACTGGTAAAAAAATGGACAAATGCTCGTCACCAGGGTTAGATTTTGGGTGCTGGCGTTCTTATTGTTTGTGTATTTAGCGGGCGTTTTGCTCATATCGGTCGTCACATTCCACGAGCCCAGTAATAATACCGGAATTTCTAAGGTAAATATTTTACAATAGCTTCGACTACTAAATAGTGGCTGGTATTTTTTTGGTTTCCCTGATATAAATAGAAAGCCAGTACTGTTTTAAAAGTATTTATGTTGATATTGAACGCGTGTAATCTTATTAAAATCTACCCTGATTACAATAAAACAAGCCATAGGCAAGGTTATTTTGTTCATGCGTGATTATTTCTTAAAGAAAAAATAAAATTTACCTACCAATGGGCGATTAGCATAAATATAGGGGAAGTTATACAACTTTTTAACATAATTTATAGGTTTTAACTTCATATGCAATGTATAAAGAAATTTGAGTTTGTTTAGGTAAATATTATTATTTATTTTTATTAGATTGAGTAGAAATATGTTATTACCTACCTTTTGTTAAAAAGAAATCCTTAAAAGACACAACACGTTGTATGTAATACCGATAGGTACTAAAAGTATTTATTTAAAAACTATTTTAAAACAAAGCATATTTAACGTTGCCAAGCAACCTAAACAATAACAAGTTTTTGTCCACTTGGAAAAAAACACAGGCAAATACCAACCTTATAAAACTTTATAAAATAAAATTGTTTCCATTTAACCAAATTTGCAATAGTAAAAATATTAGTTGTACAGGGTGATTTCTTTCATCCAAATGAATTTTTTAGGGTTTTGAAAATAACCAACATAATTCAAGATTCAAGCATTTTGAGTATGGACTACCGGGTTTCAGACCACCTCTAAGAAGATCTAAAATACTCTGGTGTGGTGAACTTATATATATAGAAAAACCGAAGTTTACCATAGCTTTAGCGTCTTTCCCTGGAAGCGGAAATACCTGGTTGAGGTATTTGCTACAACAGGCCACTGGTGAGCGTTTTTAGTCTTATGCTTGGTTTATAGATTGCCTTCCTTCCTCCCGTAGATGAACAATACAAAAACAGTTGGCACTACGTAATGTTCATCTCTTACGGGAGGAAGGAAGGAAGGGAAGGCAATCTATAAATCATTTCTGTAACGCAATTTTTTAGGAATTTATACAGGTTCTGTGTATAAAGATTACGGACTTTTAAAAAACGGATTTCCAGCAGAGAGTGTAGTAAATGGTTCTGTATTGGTAGTTAAAACTCACGAATGGGGGTTAGGGGCTAGAAATAAATTCAATAAGGCCATTTTGTTGATAAGGTCACCTTCAGCGGCTATACAGGCCGAATTTAACCGACAGAGCGGCGGCCATATTGGATTTGCTTCTCCCCGATAGATACAGACGAACCAAAGGAAAATGTGAGCACTTTAACACTTTAAAAATTTGATTATTAAAGTTTTGTTTTCTTAGTTTGGCAACAGTTCGTCACCGATAAACTCCAGGGCTGGAAAAGTATGAACCTGGACTGGTTGTACAACTTCACTGGCCCTACCCACGTAATTTTTTTATGAACAGTTGGTAGAAAACACTGAATACACCCTAAGGTCGATATTAAACTTCATAGAATACCCGATAAACGAGAAACTATTCCGGTGTGCCATCGAAAGGCAAGAAGGGATATATCGTAGAAAAAGAAGGGTACTAAACTTTGACCCCTTCACCAAAAAAATGAAAAAAAACGATCGAAGAAATCCAAACCACTGTCTACAATGCGGTTTACAGCTTTGCCTCGCCATCTACGTATAGATAATAAAAAAATTTATACAGAGTTATTTTTTTTATTATGTCTTGTTATATATATTTTTAGATGACTCTGTATAAATATAGACAATAAGACAGTTTTAAAGCAATGTTTTTGTTGTTATTTTTTGAATGTCCAAAGTTATGTTTTTAATATGCTTTAACTAGTAAAATCATAGGTAAATTTGTTACTTTTTAGAATAAATAAATGTTAAATATGCTCATAAAATTAACATTTTACTTAAATGTATGTGATTTTTTTTATATAACGGGTAAACAATAGGTAAATTAATGTTGTGTATTAAAAAATATATAGATAAAACACCCAAAACAATCGTTTTATTACAAAGAACACATTTGGGTTGTTTTCTTGCTGTTGGAACAAACCTTTTTAATACTGTAAATGTACTGTATTAAAAACTAGTGTTGGGTTACTGTTTTTGACCAAAAAAATAAAATTAAATTAAAATAACATATTTCACACATTAATACTTATATATTTATACATATAAATGCATTAAAAATCATATTAATGTGTAGTTGACACTTGAAAGAAAAGAGTTGGCAGCAGTGTTTTCACTTTACTTCAATTATCAGCTGATTGCTCATAGTAAACAAAGAATGTTGCAAAATAATCAAGAAAAAAAACCGATAAAAACCACAATTCATCATAAATAATGTAAATTACTAGAATAAATATAAATTTACAGTTAGTATAACCATAGTTTTAAAAGCCATAACCTCACTTTTTGCTTTTGACGTTTTACCTTTTTATCAAGTGTAAAATGTGGAATATCTTGGTGGTTTTGTTGTTTTTCGAGTTCACTTATAGTTCCTATACGCCTATAGCCATAAACAACGTGACATACAATGAAGAATACGAGTTTACGATCAATAGAAGTGTAGGATATATTTGTCGTTTTCCGGTGAAAAAGTGAGTTTATTTGTGGTAAATATAGGGTTGTAAAAACGTTTTTTATGCAGAGAAATCTTCCACATCAAGTTAAAATCTACAGGCATGGCACGGAGAATGAAAGTTTACCTTTGATGATTGTAGCTCAAACTCCTACGGAAATGTTATCGTGGAAGTTACCTTTAAGGGTTGAAAGTTCATCCGGTAGTAAAATATTTCAGTCTCACATCCAGGATTATTTGTCAGGACCCGCACAACAAAAATTTATCGAGTAATGCAATACTACATGTTATTTTAATGAAATATATTAATATTTTTGTAGGTAATGAAAAAGAATATGATAATCCTATAATTTCAATATCCACAGCGTCTGTGGATCCAATTTCGTTCAACGTTAATGTAAGCTATGTGGAGGATTTTTATATAAAACCTTCTGTTGAATATAAGACAGTTATTTCACCTAGTGAACCCAGGTGAACAATTTTAACATTGAAAAAACGTTTGGAGTTGATTAAATGTTGTTTTTTAGATATTTTTTCTACCATTTCGATAAAAACACTTCATTAAGTGACCAGGATTCAAATTACGAAACCGTCATACTAAAAGTAACATCAGAACATGAAACATGCATGACCGTCAGCATACAAGATGCCAAGGTTGGTAGCAATGTTTTTTATAATTTTTCAAAAACGTCACAAGCATTTTTAGGTTGATCAAAATCCATAATTTTGCTTGTTTTTGTTTAAAAAAAACTGCGGTGATCAAAAAAATATGGATTTTAATCATATGTCGGTTTTTAAAAACTATGGATTTTGATCAGAAACAAAAAATGACATTTTTGATTAAATTCATGATTTTTGGTGAAATATGCTTGTTTTTGTTTAAAAAAAACTTTGCGGTGATTAAAAAAATATGGATTTTAATCATATGTCGGTTTTTAAAAACTATGTATTTTGATCAGAAACAAAAAATGACATTTTTGATTAAATTCATGATTTTTGGTGAAATATGGATTTTAATCATGTCAGTTTTTAAAAAATTATGGTTATTAATCAGGATCAAAAAATGACATTTTTTATTAAATTTGTGATTTTTGGGGATTAAAAAAAAATAGGGATTTTTATCATGTCAGTTTTTAAAAAATTATGGATTTTAATCAAAAACATTAAATGACATTTTTGATGAAATTCATTATTTTTGGTAATTATGGATTTTAATCAAATGTCAGTTTTTTTAAAAAACTATGGATTTTAATCAGAAAAAAATTGACATTTTTGATTAAATTCATGATTTTTGTTTTCTTATATTAACCTGGCAATAAAATAAAAGGGTAGCATTTTATTAGCTACATATCTACATATACATCACAGTGCTGTTCTGAGAGGTGATTTTTGGACTTTCTGTGAAACCTAATTTTTTTTATATTCTTGTTAATTAGGTCATAACTAAAATTTTAAGAGCAAAATAAAAAAAATTTGTTTTAATTGGATGTTTATTAAAAATATGTTTGCACACTTTCAATTCTCCAATTAAAACTTGCGATTTTATTTAAATATTATCATAACTTTTTAAATCAGATTAAAGATTAGTTAATTTCCTAAAAAAAGGTCTATACATTTTTTATATCTTTTACTGTTTTGTTGTAATACACATTTAACAGTTTTAATTTAAGGTTAAATGTATAGTATACATTTATTAAACAATAATTCTAAGGGTGCCACATTTTATTTAGGGCCGATTTATTCATTTTTGATTTATTTGACGAATAATTTCTTTGGATACTAGATATTGCCAAGACATGAAAGTTATTGGCCCGATAAACTTTACTAAAGATGAATAAACCGGTCCTTAGTTAAATTTCATAAATTTCTTCGTAACTTTTACTACAATTTTTCATTTTTGTTTATAAAAAACACTTTAAAAACTAAACAAAAATTATAGAATACGTATACTGAAAATGACGTCAAATAAATTTATAATAGATCTAAGTTTCATGGCAACCTTTAAAGATATATTAATTAAGGGAACATAAATGTATACGTCAAAGGTTAGATTAAAAGTTTGAACGTTTATTGCAACAGTAAAATATATAAAAAAAAAATTAAAAACCTTTTTTTTTTGTTATGCAAATATTAAATATTTAAATTAAATCGCTAGTTTTAATTGGATAATTGAAAGAGTGCATAATATTTTTAATAAACAGCCAATTAAAACTGTCAAATTTTTTTTATTTTGCTCTTAAAATTTTAGTTATGACCTAATTAACAAGAATATAAAAAAAAATTAGGTTTCACAGAAAGTCCAAAAATCACCTCTCAGAACAGCACCGTGGCATATAAAGTAAGAAAGTTTGAAAACTTCTACAAGAACAAAGGAAGGTAGGCAACCCAGTATACATACAAATAATTCTTTTTAACATTCAAGACCATTTTTTGATTTGAGTATTTTAATAATGAAATAAAAAATTATGCTTTAGTGCCCTGTTTTGGATTTAAATGAGGATATAACATACAGAGGGTTTTATGAAACTGTGACTACTAAAGGAGGTATCACAATACCTGTAAGTTTAATTATTTATATAAATAAAATACATTTCTAAATGTTTTATTATTGTTTTTACAGAAATACAAATTTCCCAACGGTTTTTACATTGTTTTTGTTGCTAAAGGCGACGAAAATTGTATGTACCAAGATCTGTTAGAGGAAAGTTTTTTCAAGAAAAATATATCATTTAAAATTGAGCCTAGTATATCATATTCTGACTACCAAACTGCAGTTTTAACAACAATTGCTGGAATAGGTAAAAAAAAACAACAAAGAAAAATGTTAAATAAATATTTTTTTTTAGTTCTTTTCTATATAATTTTTTTAAGTGGTTATGCAATTTGCATTAAAAGAACCCATATACCAAGGTCACTTGAATATGTAACCCCATCTCAATCCACAGTAAATACCCCAACTGTTAGTGGTAAGTCCAGAAAATACCACACACAAATAATTGTTTTAATATTTTTATTTAAAGGTATTGTAGAAGTAGATACAACATGTGAACCCCCAAACTTGGCAGACTCAGTGTCTTTGGACGAACAAGAATACGATGTATTATTAGACGCCGATAGAGACAAGGAAATACGTTTGTCGAAAAGCGCATTATTTTTACACGATTTAGCAAGAAAAGATCCCAGAATTCACAAACAAAAATCGTATTTGTATCTTTACAACGTTCTAACAATAGCTCTGTTCTATGGCTTGCCAGCCATTCAGTTGGTCATAACTTATCAAAGAGTAAGACTTTGAATTTTTTTTTTTTCATTTTCAGTTAATTTTTTTTTATTAGGTACTTAACACAACAGGTGAACAAGATCTGTGCTACTACAATTTTCTATGTGCTCATCCTTTGGGAAACTTAAGTGACTTCAACCATGTTTTTTCCAACGTCGGTTACGTTTTCTTGGGAATCTTATTCCTATTTATTGTGTATAAAAGGGAGAAAACTCATCAAGACTTAGATTTTGAAAGGGTAAAACAATCAAATAATTTTTTTTGTAAATACATTTTTATTAAACGAATGAAAGGTGAATAATGAATAAGTTAAGTAGCTACATTTGTAAATCCATTACTATAAATAAACCTGTAGCGACTTAACTTATTCAGTATTTAACTAAAGACGATTTTTTTGTATTTATGATTATCTACAACTTTTTTTGTAAATAAAATTGTTTTGAATGAATGAAAGGTTTTGTCCGGTGAATATTGAATAAGTTAAGTAGCTACAGGTCTATTTATACTAAGCCTTCAGTGGACATGGACCTGTAGCTATTTTTTTCATTATTTACCTGAAGACGATTTTTCTTGTATAATTAATTGTCTACAACCATCAAACACAAATTAAATTTTAGTCCTATGGTATACCGCAGCATTATGGTATGTTTTACGCCATGGGTGTGGCTTTAATGATGGAAGGTATACTGAGTGGTAGTTACCACGTGTGCCCTAATCAAAGCAACTTTCAATTCGGTATTAATTTTCTTTACATTACCTGTACATAAAGTTTTTTAATATTTTTTTTTAGATTCTAGTTTTATGTACGTAATGGCGGTGTTATGTATGGTAAAATTGTACCAAAACAGACACCCAGACATCAATGCCAATTCGTACTCAACTTTTGGAGTATTGGCAGTGGCTATTCTTCTTGGTGAGCATTAAAAAATCCTTGCTTTAAAGTATACCATCAAAATTTTTTTAGGTATGGTTGGTATTATGGAAGGACACACGTTTTTGATTTTTTTCACCGTCATACATATCTTGACGTGTTTATATCTAACCTTACAAATATATTACATGGGGTGCTGGAAATGCGGTAATATATATAGAATGTATAAAAATACATTTTCACTAAATTATTTTCAGACAAAGGTGTTTTCCTGAGGATATACAGAACATTCTTAAACGACTTTAGAGCAGGTCCTTTAAATATATTTATTCCGACTTACAAGGGTAATATTTCGTAAAAAAACTATATAACATTGAAATAAAATACATTTTAGCTCGTTTTTTTCTTCTTGTGGTTGGCAACATTATAAACTGGTTGATGGCCACCTTTGCTCTTTTAAAAGGTGGCAGTATATTCGCTTTGTATCTTCTTGCAGTTTTCATGATGAACACTTTATTGTACTTCTTCTTTTACATTTTGATGAAGGTGAGCACCAAACCTTAGACCATCTATCTCTAAATATTACATATTTTTTAGTATTACTACAAGGAGAGAGTGAACTTAAGGTCATGGGTGTTTCTAATCATATCTTGGATATGTGCTACATCAGCCATGTACTTTTTCTTGCACAAAAGTATATCTTGGACGGTAAGAAATCAACAATTTTACATTTTATATGGTGTATTATTTTTTCTTTACAGGAAACACCCGCAGAGTCCAGAAAATACAACCACGAATGTAAAATTCTACATTTCTACGACTACCACGATATTTGGCACTTTTTAAGTGCCATAGGTATGTTTTTTACGTTCATGGTACTTCTCACCATGGACGATGATTTGTCCCATGTCCATAGAACCCAGATACCAGTGTTTTAGAGTGTAATTTTATTTTATTGTACCAAAAAACTGTGATTAATTTATAGCTCTCATTTTAAAATCTCTTCTTCAAAAGACGCACAGATTTCTTTATGTATATTTTGTATTAATATGTAAGATATTAAAATAAAACTATTTCCACATAAAAAAACTTTTTTATTTAACATGTAAGCAATGTTGTCTATGACTGTACCACCATTTGAATGTCACAATGTTTTTGTCCACAATTGTAGTTGGAAATAACTAAAAGAAAAACATTGTAGAATTTTTATTCGCCAATACCCGAGACCCTTGCTTGTGAAAACTCAATTAAAATCACAAGTTAGGGTCTCAGGGAATAGGCAAAATAAGTTTTGCCAACACTGAAACAAAAAATGCAATATCCTTTAAAAATACAGTTACAATCGCCGTTTCTTCTTTTTTTGTTGAATAGGCTTAAGTTCTGGAAAGTTAGCAGGCTGCACAGTACTCCAAAGAGATGTAATTCAACTATACAACCTACTACCTCACCAAAACATAAGAATTTTATCGTCTCCATTATTTTTTACTCGATTTTATCCATTGGTGTGATATTTTTGCGCCAAAAGGGACCTGCAGAAGCAAACTTGCGATTGTTTTTAGTCTACACAAGTTCGGATCTACGGGTTACTTCGAACACAATAAGAAATTATAAATCCTTGGTATTTCCATGGGAAAAAACCTGCAAAATGTCAAATGTTTTAACTTATTTTTCAAGATTCTTTTAAAAATAAGAAAAATTATTTAAAATGTGTACAATCGTTTAGAGCGTAAAATTTCCTTTCATTTGATATGTCGCATGCCTATATTCTGTTTATAATGGGCACCGCAATACACTTTTCAAGACCTTGATCTTCATTTGTTTCACTTTTTTGTTCCTAGTTTAAACATATCGATGTTGGTACTCATTTTTTCGGATTTTTTGTGTAGATTTCGATTGTGTAAACAAAAATTCGAAAATAATATTTTTTAAGGAAAATTTATATTCAAGAAATTTTTTTATAAATAATCTTTTAGATGATAAAATTTCCTTTCATTTGATATGCCGCATGCCTATTTTCTGATTTTAATTGGCACCGCAATACACTTTTCAACAATTCGATCTTCATTTGTTTTACTTTTTTGTCAGTAGTTTAAACATATCGATGTTGGTACTCATTTTTTCGGATTTTTTGTGTAGATTTCGATTGTGTAAACAAAAATTCAAGAAAAAAATTTTTTTTCAAAGAAATAATTTTATAAATAATCGTTTAGAGCGTAAAATTTCCTTTCATTTGATATGTCGCATGCCTATATAAGGCGTTTAATTGTACCGACAAATGACATTTTAAGACAGCGATGTTCATTTGTTTCACTTTTTTGTTTGTAGGTTAAACATATCGATGTTGGTACTCATTTTTCAGGATTTTTTGTGTAGATTTCAATGGTGTATTCGAAAAAAATAATTTTTTAGAAAAATGTCATATTTTTGTAAATAATCGGTAAGATCATAAAATTTCTTAAGTAAATTTGAACATTCTAAAATATTTTTTTTCTTATTTCAGAAATACCAATTGATTTTTCTATCCTTAGTTTTGTCAGGTCGTAGCACTGTCTTACTTTTTTTAACCCGTGCAAAAAATCAAGTTCGAGCAGTTGAGTACAATGACCTAAACGTCGCAGACCGTGCCACGTTGCCGGATTTCGAGAAAGTATTGAGAATATAATTTAAAACCATTTATTTTTGTTTTAAAGTTAAAATCGAAGCAAATGAGAATGTCAAAATATGATGCACACATTTTCTAACAAAATTAAATTAAAAAAACAAACATTTTTATAAAAATAACAGGTGTACGAAATCATTTAGTCACCCTGTAAATAAATAAAATTGGATCGTGATTTTGTGGGACCGGATCAGGTTGGCCAGCTGTTTAAAACAAAATCGAAAAAAAACAATAGAAATCGAGTATACCTGCCTGAATACTATACCCAGTTCGCAATGCGAAAAAAAAACATCGTATTGTATAAGTTTTGGTAAAAGGTAAAAAACCCGTTTTCGAAAATTTTTGGTGGTTGCATAAGAAAGACGTTGACCTTTGTGCAAGGCTGCCACGCGTTTATTTGTACAGGGTGTTGGTAATTTAAGCGATTTTTTATGTTTTTCTAGATTTTTTTTTGTTATATTTAAATTAGGTGTGTTATTTAAAGTTTAAAGATTTGTTTTGCTAAAATAAACACGTGTTAGCACACCTATATAAGTGTAAATAATTGTCCTTGACAAATACATTGTTTTCTTTTATATAAAAAAAATTACAGTTATTTATATTGTGTTTTATTTTCTGTATAATTAAAACAATTATTGGATTATTTGTCAGTAGTTTTCCAATTATGTACTAAATAACAAAAAAATAAATGTAAAACTCATTTGAGGGTGTAAAATTCCCCTTTGTTATTTAAGCAAAAAATAAAATTCAAGTTATTTTTAAATGCCTTGAACTCCGGCCTACCGCAATTTAAATTTGGCTAGCTCACTAGGATAATGACCTCTCGCACACTTGATTTGACCTTTCAATTTAAAAATAACAACTTCAACAAATACCGTTTAATTTACACAAAAAAACAACATAAAAAAATGTCTTTAAAACGCACTTTTAAACAGAAACAACAAAAGATGCGCACGCACAGTGCGTAACAAGTGACTATCACTAACCGCACGCACAATCACGGCAATCTCTGACCTACGCCTAGATATTTGTGCGTAAGGCTTACAGACTCGCGAAAAGTGCGAAATTTACGCACAGTAGTCTAAAAGTATAAAAAATACAATTTTTTACAGGTTGATTTTTGTATTCTTATATATAAAATAATATCATTTATGTATTTGTTATTTTGTTTGTGTAGCGATAAACAAAACAAAGGAAATGCAGTACAAAGTGTGAGATTGTCAAGGCCGTCTAATAAAAAAATGGTTGATGTTTGGTAAACAAACTTGTTGAAGGGGTCGTTAAACTTAACTTAAAAAAAAATACGGAAAATAATAAAAATTTCATATTTTTGCAAATATTCGTTTAGTTCGTAAAATTTCCTTTCATTTGATATGTCGCACGCCTATATTCTGCTTTTAATTGGCACCGCAATACACTTTTTAATACCTCGATCTTCATTTGTTTCACTTTTTTGTCTGTAGGTTAAACATATCGATGTTGGTACTCATTTTTCAGGATTTTTTGTGTAGATTACGAATATTATATCGGTTTTGTGTAAAAATTATGCAAATATAATAAAACCGTTTTTGCGATATTATCTCACCTGTTATATCGTCGTCAATAGTTTTTATAGTAAGTTTCTGTAAAAAATTTTTATTTTCACAGACGCCCTTGGGGATTTAAAGATCTTAGACAGGTTATTAACCCTCGCGACGTGCTTAACAAATGAATGTCGTCAAGACCGCGTTGCCAAATTGCCATACATTAAAAAAACTTAAATTTTTGAATAAACCGAAAATTAGTTTTACAAAAAAAACTAAAAATCATTATTACACATAAAAAACATCATATCCCAGGATTTTTCTTTGAATCGTACGCCTGGCAACGTGGCAAAGTCGAAGAAAACGAAAGACAATCGAGGATCGCGCAAACCAGACGTGTTAAACGTTGCGATGTTGCCAAAAAACGGCAACCGCGCCGTCGGGACCGGTTAATCATATGTTCAGCGATAGACTGCGCGATGTTGCCACGTCGTGCTTTTCGCCGACGAAGCGGGGATTTTTCGGTACAATCGGCAACGTCGCTCGGTTTATTAATAGATTTTTGCGGTGCGTATGGTCAGTGACGTTAAAAATAGGAGAGATAAAAACAATTTTTTTGTTTTTGGGGGATTTGACAACGTTGCATTTTTTTTTACCTTGAAAGGACTTTTGTTTCGGGTCATTTCCGTGCGCGAACAATCAAAAGAATGTCGAATAGGTCTGGCAAATATCCGCATGAAAAAAAAAATAATCACTTTTTTTATAATCCTTAAAAAACACATAAACTTTATCGACAAAACAAGCGAAAATCGCGAAACAAAGCATTTAAATCGAGTAAGCCGCGTTTCAAGGCATATTTGATACTAAAACAAAATCAAAAACGAAATATAGTGGACATGTTTCTATGGCAACGCAATGCGCATGCGCTAAAAGCTGTAATACTGCGTTAAATGCACCGGTGTTGTTCTTAGGTAGGGAATTTGTTGAAATGCATTTATAGGTTAATTTACATATATGGGTCAAAATCAAATATTTGTCATTTAAATTTATTTTTTGATCTGTTTTGAATTTTTAAATATGATATAATAAATAAATCTGTAACGCTTTTGTTGAGAAAGGAATTATAAAAAATAGTTTTGGCTCTACACGGAAAAAAGAAAACAGGAAAACTTAACTTCGCATTTAGCATTTATTACAGTTTCGGGTAGCAAGTGATCTCTTCAAACTCAAAACTGCAATATGTACACTATTTCCGTGATACTGCAAGTATTACAGTTTTAAGTCATATATATTGTAGCTTCAAATCATAAATATATTTTAAAACTTAAAGACTTGATTATAAGAATTACTATCTCAAACTGTAATTTTTCGCACAAGCCTTTGGAAAAGGCGTCTGAGAAATAAAAATTACAGTTTCATTTAGTAAGTTGTACTTGAATTTGCTTAAATGTTTATTGATTTTTTAACCCTTTATTAAGATTAGGTAGTGGGAATTTTGCAGTTTCAGATAGCAAAATTTAAAAATCAAGAAATGTAAATTTCACTCGTTTTATAATATAAAATATATTTTTAGATTTAATAAATGATATTCAAATATCAATCTTTAATGTTTGAATAGTAAATTTTGTAGTTTTAGAATGTCAAATATATTAAATTTGCTGTAGTAGGTATATGGGGCATTCCACGGTACTCAGAAATTTTCGTCCTGCCCGCCACAATTAAAAATTGTCAATAAAATCCACTTGTAATTAAATTT